AGGGAAAATTGAGCTTTTGGTACCTTCTAGAACTTTACTTAAATTTTAGGATGTCTCTACTTCAGTGCTGGTAAAATTACTCTTGTGAATAGGTTGTACATCAAGTTTGTTAGAAGTGCTTCCATGATTGAGCAGCTGTGCATTAAATGCCAGTGTTAACTACTTCATTTCTTCTTTGTAGCACACTAAAAAGGACCTGGAAGGATTTAAGAAGCTATTTCATAGATTCCTACAAGAAAAGGGACCATCTGTGGACTGGGGGAAGATTCAGAGACCTCCAGAAGATTCTGTAAGTTGTGATGAAATGACAGTCTATAGGGAACATAAACCTGATAATTACTACTAGTAGCAAATGACGTAGTCACCCACAGAATGGATACAACTGCTGTGGAATCATGTAGGAAAACACGTTGGGTTCCAACTGAAAGGTAATTATTTGTTGACATATGTTGTATGTGTTCCTGAACATCAGGTCCTGCTTAACACATGTATCAAGTTCTTTGGTGTTATTTTGTTAGCTGTTCTTGGAGCAGGAGAACAAAATGGGCCAGATGCCATCTTACCTTTTGGTACCTTCTCTGGAGTAAACAGTAACTCGTGTTAGAGGGGAAGTAGGTAGGACCCTTGTTGTTCCCTTTTCCTCCTGCGTGTGAAAGAAGGTTGTGTGTCTCAGATGAGAGCATTTCCAGCAATCCATTCTGCTAAATAATTTGTAAGGGACATATGGCGAGTGGGCTGGGTTACAGAGCTCATTTAGCAACTTCTGTAATCTGCAGCAGCTCAGTAAAAGTGAGGAATCTGAAACAAGCAGTTGACTGGGGGGGGTTTTTTTGGGGGTAATTTTTCTAATGTCATCTATGTTGTTATAACTTATAACCTGCCACACGAGCTGCTGCTGAAAAAGCACTAAATGGGGTTTTTTTTCAGCACCAAAATAAACCCTTCCTATTAAACCTAACCTTATTGTATTGATTCATCTGTGGCCCTCGGCTGTCTTTTGACTCTTGCGTAACTAATGATGATGTAGTTGTGCTCCGAGTTCTTGCTTTTCCCAGCCTGGTGATCTTGGCGTATTTGTGAGACTCCTGTGTCCTCACACATTTGTGGTTTCTCTTAGGCTCTCTGTGGTGGTTCAATCGAGGCTCTGTTTGCAACTGAAAGGCAGGCTGTCCAGTTACTTCCAGAAGAGATGCAGTGCTGCTCTCTTAAAGTGTTGAAGAATGATGCTGGTTTAGAGCAAGTCTAGGGTTTTTCCAAGATTGAGTGTTTTCTTTCAACTCCAAAAACATGTGCTGTCTCTCTCTCTTCTGTACTGAAACACTGAATGAAGTGTTGCTTTGGGGAGAAAAATCCACCTTCAGTAAAGAGGCCAAGGTGAGAAATCGGAGTTCTAGATAACGTGACTTACAAGGAAGGCTGAAGAAAAAGGGGTTGCTTTTAGTCTAGAGGGGGTGAGACTCTGGGGAGTGATAAGTCTTTTAAATATGTAAAGAGGTAGCTGCAGCAATGAAAGGAATAAACTGTTCTCTGTGTCAAGATAAGGCCTGGGATTAAATGACAGCAATTTGATGCGAGAGAATGGGCTGCTTTGTGGAGAGGGAGAGCTATTGTCTATTTTTAAAGTTTTGCACACCTTCAGCAGAAAAACTTTCAAGTTCTGTGTAAAGGACTGAAAATTACCAGGTAGGATATTGGGAGCAAATGTCAAACAGGAGGGTTATGATAAGACATTGAAATAGACTTGATGGGAACTTCCCAGGCAAGGCAAACTGCTTCAAAAAAAAGATAAGTTAGACAAAGGTCTAACATAAGGTCACAGAGGGCTGGAAGTAGGGCAAGATTAGAAAGAGTATCTCTCTTCTTCCTTATGGCCTGTGCTGGCTCATTCTCCTCTGTCTCTTAGCTGTGTAGTAAGTAGCTTTTGACCAAAAAGGAACTAAAAAGACAAACCCAAAATGGTAAAACTCCTGCAAAATCGGGTCAGTTTGGCTTAGGTGAGATGCATGTGTGATCTTGCAGGAAATTTTGCTCCCTAGCACAAACTCCAAATCAAACAATCACTCTTGATGGATGTCGCAGAAGAAAGCTAGAGAAAAATACCTGCAAACAAACATCCTTCATAATAAATATCTCTTGGTTTAGGATTCCTTGGAGAAGTTGGTAATTAGAGACTTCCTGATCTGACAGGGGGTGGGTTGAGCGCTCTTAAAAACAGAGAGCAAGCTTAAGGTTCTTGAGTATTTTTTCTTTTCCTTTTTTTTTTCTTCCCTGATCATGAGAATCCCATCTTCCTGCCACCCTCAAACCCTGCTTTTTATCATGAGAATCCCATCTTCCTGCCACCCTCAAACCCTGCTTTTTATCATGAGAATCCCATCTTCCTGCCACCCTCAAACCCTGCTTCTATTTATCCACTTTCATCACCTTTTTAAGATGTCAGTCATGTAGGGGACATACCATGGAGAGTGAAAGGTGTCTTACATGAAACATTTTTCAGGTGACTTGCAGTGTACCTTCTCCCAGATTATTCGTTGCTGGGAGATAGGAGTTGTGGAATTATTAGATAAATATTGATTTATTCAAGACCAGAGTTCCAGAATTATCAGTAACTAGTATAAGTAAGAACAGTAGGAGATTTTAGAAGGACTAGAGTGATAATTTTAGAAAGGCTTCAGAATAAAGATGGCAGTTCTGGGTTCTTTGGGATAGGTATCCATCTGTGAATATATGCAGATTTCCTCTGAGTGCTTTTGTTCAGCTCTAGTTGAGGTTTTTTTCTTTTCTTAGCTATAAAAACTCATAGTGTACTCTTCTCCTGGTCTTGTTAGAAGTGCACAGAGGATGGTACACACAAGAATTGTTTGGAAAGTTCACTGGTAATCTTACAAGTGATGTGTTACTGCCTGTTCAGACAACCTTGTTTTATGGGTGGTGGGGTGTTGAGAATCTTGCACGACAAGTATCATGGCACAGAAAGCAATGACCTGCTCTCCCCAGTGTGGGTTTATTTGCCTGTGATTGTTTTGGAGAATTAATTTGCTTCTTGATCAGTCCAAAGCACTGAGAATTCTGGCATGTGTAGTCTTCAGCTGGTACCTAGCAGAGCTACGAGTGTCTGTTTAGATACTTTAGGTGCTGTTTAGTATCATGTATGTGTGCATGTGTGTGTGTATGTGTATATATACATACAGACATACACACACACACATGTGTGTGTCTATATTTTTATACATATATAAAAAATAAAAGCACCCAAAAATGTGCCAAGTTGGTCATGTAGGATTTTTTTTTTCTTACCAGCTTAAAAAAGTCCATGAATAGTTTATTGCCTTTAGAGGCTTTGTCTTTTAATTTTCTGTTTTACTTAAGGTATTTCTGAGTTTCAGGTTAGGTGGGAAAGGTGTTTCAGGCTTTTGCCCAATGCCCTGGGACTGTGCTATGAAGGAGCAGAGCTTCTGATCAGACTTTCATGGGTCATCTGTTGTGTTATCCCTTGTACTCCTTCTTTGAATGTAGTTTTCTGCTCTTTCCTGAAGCATCTACTGACAGGTAAAGGCTCCTGTCAGTAAACTGAAACAGGAATGATTGTGTTGTAACATTCCTCCTCTGCAATGAGAGATTTCATCCCTGACCTCCATGTTTTCAGTGTAACAACTAACACCGGTGGGCAAGCACATTGGGCAAGCTCCAGACAATGATAACAGAAAATTGAGCTCATTTCACACTATATTGGTAAACTTCTGACTTCTTTTTACCTTCCAGATGCTTTGCTTCCATGTATCCAAAGGCTTACAATGATAGCTGGCATAGTTAGGACCCATTACTGTTACAGTCTTCAGAGAAGAAGACATACTTAGAGTGCTGATTAGCAAGGAGACAAGGTAAAAAATGTGGACATGGCAAGTGTAATTTAATCCTGTGGATGTAGATTGCAGCAATCTGTTTGTTTGAGTTGGAAGCAATAGCAGAGTCCTGCTGGGAGGCCTGTGAGGGAACTGCAGTGATCGCGTTCACCTCAGAACAGCAATGGAAAACCTCATCTAGGATGCAGGGAGAGCATCCAAAGTGATGTGAGTGTGAAAGGAACTTGGCTGTTAGAGGTTTAGTTTGCCCAGTGGTCAGATTCTTGCCTGTAGCTCAAGTTGTCATCTCAATGAGGTGTATGATGAAGTGTGTTGGGTTGGGGGGTGTTTTTGGTAGTGTGAGAAGGAGCTACAGTGATGGCCTCTGTGAGAAGCTTTGCAAAGCTCTCCTGGCTCCAAGGTGGACCCACCTCCAGCCCAGCCTGAGCCAATTAGCAATTGAGAAATGCCTCTGTGAATCTATTTATGAGGGCAGGGACTGTCTTGAAAAGAAGGTGGGGAGAACCATTGACCTGAACAAGAGATGACCATTGGCCTAAACAAAGAGAGAGCTTCCTTGCCAGGAGGAAGGAGGAGGAGGAGGACAGAACCTCAGACACCCAGTTCAACACACAGAGCAGGAGAAGGTAATTGAGGTCCCTGCAGCCCATGGAAGTTCAGTGGCGGAGCAGATACCCCACGTGTAGGCCATGCAGGACTTTATGCTGGAGGGGAAAGCCGAGCCTGAGGGCAGCTGTGGCTGAATTGAGACCCCAGAGACACTCAACACCAGAGCGGGTGTGAACCCTCAGAGCCAGGCAGGTAGGAGGTGCGCTGGACCAGAGACCTGTCTGCAGCCCATGGACATCCCCATGCCAGAGCCAGGAGCTGAGCCTGAAGAGGTCCATGACTCCATGGGAAGCCCGTGTTGGAACATCTTGTTCCTGGGCTTTTGCAACCTGCAGGAGGGACTTTCATGCCTGGAAGAGTGGCAATGGTGAACTGACTGCAACCCCCATCCCCTGCCCCCTGTGCTGCTGAGGGGGAAGGTAGAGAAATGGGGAGCAAAGAGATTTGGGCCCGGGAAGAAATGAGGGGTGGGGAGAAGGTGATGTAAGATGTGGTTGTTACGTCTCACTGTCCTTCTCTGATTGGTAATGGATTAAATTGATTTTTCTTCCCCAAGTTGAGTCTGTTTTGCCCGTGACCATCACTGGTGAGTGAGCCCTCCCTGTCTTCATTTTTAATCCGTGACCTCTTTGTTGTGATTCCCTTCCCATGTCACCAGGTGAGGGGAGTGAGTGCAGGACCTCATGGTCTGACCTGTGTGCGAAAGCACCACATGAAAGCAAAGAAAGAATATCATGCTCTTACTGAAGAGCAAAATGTCTTCCTAATACTCAACTCTGGAAAGAGGTTTTGAGAGTTCACTTGGTTCTGTTTCTAA